AGAACTTATCTCTTGATAAGAATGTTCCAACTCTGAGCCCCAAATCTCTGGAATCCGCTCCCTCAACTCCCTCCGCCTCGCTTCCATTCTGTCTTCAAGTCTCGTCTTAAAACCTACGTCTTTACCATGGCTATGGTCCACCTCCTTACTCCCTCAGTTCGGCATCTGTCTCTGCCACTGTAAAGCACTCCAAGATGTTATTCTGTGTGACGGGTGAAATATATTGCTTAGTTTAGACTGCAAAAAATACATTAGTAGAAACTTTGTTTTTTAGGAAAAAAACCCTGATTTCAAAGAGGACTATATGCTAATGTTCTATTTTGATAAAGTTAAAGCTAAGAAGGGAGAATTGATCATGTGGCCAAAGCTGTATTGGAGAGTAATTATTGCAGGAGGAGGTCTAATGCTGGAGGAGAAGCTGTGATGTTTCAGATTTTCAACCTTACAGCAGCTCACTTCTCTTAAACAGCTGCAGTTTTAAATGGATCATTACCCTTTAAAGATTTGTTTAGCTGCTGACCTAATGAAAATGACGCATGTCATCACATAGTATGTCAGCTCTGTTCAGTTGCTAGCACTCTCGCCTCTGAGTCAGAATACTGTTGGTTCAAGCTCCACGTCATGATTTGAAACTCAGATAGTCTAGGCTGACACTTCCAATACAGCGCCGAGGGTTTGCTGGATGTTGGAGGTGGTGTCCTTCGCACCAGGCATTAAATTGAGGTCTTGTCTACCTGTTCAGGTGGATGTTAAAGATCCTGTGACAGGAGAAGAGAGTTTTTCCTGGTGGCTTGGCTGATAAAATACAGTTACTACAATTTACAGTAAATCCTGTGAAGCACTTTGAGAAAACCTCCTGATAGGAAAGGTGCTATATCAAATATAAAGGTTAGTGTTATTATTGACCATTGTGCTATGCTGGCTAACGGTTCTCATTGGGAAGGGGTGGGGATGAGGGGAACAACAGAGTTAAGATGGTATCTCACCACTAATGCTGAAATCTGCTACCAATCTTTGTGACAGAATCTGAATAACTTATGGGTAATGTGTGATCAGAAGGCTGAGTTCAGTGACATAGACTGGGTGGTGTTATGGGAAGGATAATTCAGTTGAGCACGTACATACTCTAAATACTAGGGGGGCACATTAAATAAAAAAATCAAATCAGTCAACAATAACATTTAAATAGTAACAAAGTTTGTAGAAGAAGATGACCAACAAGCCAAATACAAACTACAAAGATAGAGGTTTGCATTGAAAGAAAACGGTGTGGATGCCAAGATACAACTGGAAAGGGACATAGCAGCAGATGCTAAACATAATGCCAAAACAATCTTGTTCTATTGGAAGAGGTTAAAGTCCTACAATTCTTTAAGCAGGTACAGTGAGAGCAAGCCTATCAAATGTCCACTTCCTTTTTTAAACAAGGGGAAACATTTAAAAAATATTGAGCAAATGTTGTATGAGCTCTAGGACTTTGACATAGCAAGGCAGAGATTCTGGATGCGCTCATAGGGGTTGAAGTATTTATGTTGGTAGATGCAACAGCGAAAGTAAACCCAGAACAATATGTTCTGATGTTTCAAGAGGGCAAAGGCTCATGGTTGTGAAGAACAATTTTACAACAGGAAATGTTTCTTTACGACTATATCAGGTTGCCAGAAAAGGTGGTTAACGCCAGGACACTGGACTCTGTTTAAGAAACCATTCTATGCTCTAATGGGAAGACGGTAGGGTGAGTGTTTTGGAAGAGTGAGATCAAATGGGCTGATGGGAGGGTATGTGAGCACATAAAATCTGGAATTCAGATTAATTTGTTTGAGGGCATTTGTTAATTCCTTGGTACAAATTGACAAAGTCTGAACATCACAAAAGGTTCAGCAATTGTACAAATTTTAGAATGGAGTGAGAAAGTTTGCCCCCTCTCGTTCTTTCTATCACATTTGGCAATTATATTTGGCAAAGACTTTTAGTAGTTTAAGTTAATATGTGCTCACAGCTCCCAAAACAAACTAATTCTCCTGTGACCCAAGATTAATTGTTTCCAATCAATGATAAGATTAAGTTGGCTCTTGTTAGTAGATAATGCTTTTCAATCATTGGCTAAAATGGAGAGTCCATTTAGCAAGATACTTGAATTAAATTACTAGATGCAAAGTGATTTTTAGGAACTTTCTCAATGACTCAGTGGGCTTAGCCATTATGATAATAATCCTAGCATTTGGTATAGCACCTTATCACGTCGTGGAGACATTCAAAGCGTTTCACAAGATATACTGCAAAGTGGATTGACTATGTATTTTGTGAGTGCGCAGAAATGTTCTACAACAGCAATGCAGTGAGTGACGATCTTTATTTGAGGGATTTGTTGGCCAGGACACTGGGAGAAACTCCCTTCTCTTTTCGAATACTACCATGAGACCTTTAACATCCACCTGAACAGGCAGATGGGACCTCAGTTTAATATCTCACCTGAAGAACGGCACTTTTGACAATGCAACACCCCTGCAACACTGCATTGAAGTATCAGCTTAGACTTTGTGATTCCAGGTGCCAACCTAGGGCCGAACTTGCAACTTTCTGACTCGGAGGCAAGAGTGCTACCATTGAGGTAGGCTGACTACATTGAGCAGTTGAGCCATATCAACCGGAACAGTTAAGTGCTTTGATCTGCTGTCCAGTGAAAGAGTGCTATAAAAATGCAAGTCGTTGTCATATCCCTAGTCTGTGCTGAGCTGATCTCAAATAAGTAGTTTGGTACTACTTCTCATGTCTTGTGTAAAAATAAAAGGTAAATATCCTTCAGTGTTTTTGTTCCTGATTCATATCCAGTGACCTTCCTGGTGTAGTACAGTGTGTTAGTGCTTGCTGTGCTTGCTGTGAGCAGGATCAGTCTCGGCTGCAATGCCCCCTGTAGGCAATTGATCGCCGTCACTTGCTTTTGGAAGAAATATTTGATTTGTTTCCCTGCACCCCCCCAAACAATGGTATGGTTACTTCCTCATACAGTACATTGGAGAAGTAATTATAGGGCAAATTTCAAACTATCTGTAAAGAAAGCAGACTTGATGTGAAATCCTTTTGTGTTCTTTACTTTGCTTGCACTGTTTTTTAATTCATTTCTTCCTTCTGTCCCCTGACTGAGGTGGTTACAGAGGGAATCTGCTCCCATGGATTTGATCATATAATTCTTTATAACTTTGCTAAGTAATGTGAAAGAATGAAGCAGTGTTTTTTTTAAATGTTCCTTCTCTCTCCCTCTCACACCACAGCCTCCCCCAATTCCCCAAGGCCTGAGAATCTTTAGAATAAATTGCATAAAATTACATAGAACATTACAGTATGGAAACTGGCCATTTGGCTCAAATAGTCCAGGATGTTTTTTGCTCCACACTGGTCGTTGAGATTTCTCAAGTTCTTCACAGAATATACTGTAAAGTGAATTTATTGTATATTTTGTGGGCGAACCGGGTTCCCGCTAGGTAAACAGAGGCGTGTGGAGTAAGGAACCTTGCCTACCTTTTCACCCTCCCTGGGAATCAAACCCAGGCCCTCTTGCAAGGCGAGTGCTCTAACCAATATGTTACAGGGCTCCACTAATCCCCTCTCCCATAATTCTTCTATTCCCTTCTCCGTGAGCACAAAAGAGGAACAAGTGTGTTACAAATCAACTGAGGAAAGAAACCTCCCAGGATGGAGTCCATTCTGAATGGTAAATTGAGCAAACAGGTCACGTCATAGAAAGTGCAATACTGATATCCTTGTTCCCTTCCTTATCCTTTCTGTTCCAAGAAGTCTGTTAATACACCAGTATGCTGTGTATTTGCATCCCAGTCATTTATTGTTATCTGATTCCAAACTTCTGTAATGATGTTAACTTCATGGCAATAACTACATCATCCAGAAACAGAATTGGTCTGTCAATTGGCAGTCTGCCTGCATTCTGTCAGCAAATATATACATTATTCATAAGTACATTGCTGCATTTGCACCTATTGTTGTATGAACTTTGAGCTTTTAGTGTATTAGTGACGGTATTTGTGGTTATTTCACTGACGCATGTTTTCAGCAATTTGCTTCCATTGCTAATGCCTGTGGTTTCCATGCATGTGTTTCTGGGTGAAATTCAGGAAACTTGTTCGTCTCACTTGGATGTCATGTGACGGAGATTCTACAACCCAGAAGTGTAGAATTTCAAGCACCTTTACAGAACCTGTTCCTCCTTAAATATTGGGCATTTTGAATCTTAAGTGGGTGAATATTTTCGGATGAGATGTTAAACCAAGGTCCCGTCTGCTTGTCCAGGTGGACGTAAAGATGGCACTATTTGAAGACTGATGCGTATTTCTCCCGGTGTTCTGGCCAAGGGCAACAATCCCTCATGTGAAATTGGTCATTCACTTCATGGCTTTACGTGGGATATTGCTGTGTGGAAATTGGCTGACGCATTCACCAACAAAACACACAGTTATTGCACTTTACAATACATCCTGTGAAGTGCTTTGAGATGTCCTTCCGACCTGAAAGGAGCTATATTAGAAATGTAAGGACTATTGTTTTTCAAACTTAGAGCATTTTTATAGAGTTGTTTTTACATTTTTATTTAGTGTTGCAACAGCGCAAAATATTTTTATTTTAAACCACGCAGCCATATTGCCAGCAAAGTCCTACAAACTAAATAGAAGTTTGAATACCTTTTTAATATTTACCGAGTATACTGGTTTTGAAACTGGCAAGGCTAATTGCTCATTTTTATTTTTAAAGCACTTTACCTTCAAAGGGATTGTGAGTTAGAATTGTGCTCTAGTGCCAAGTAAACACTATTAAAAGCAATTGGGGCAGGATAGAAAACCAAAAGCTGCCCTAACTATATGTTTGCATTTAAAGAATGCAGACATAGCAGTTACTAATTGAGACTTGGGACTTTGCTTAGATCAAATCTGAATACACTGTACTGTCAAACAAATTTTGTTTTTCAAGCCAAATCTTTTTTTTTCCAGGACTTCTGGATTCGCAAGCACTGACTTTGGATCCATGTAAACGCTTAATAGTTTGCTGGCTGGGCACTTCTACAGAGCTTGGCTGCATTGTTCAGGGCTCCCTACATCATTGTGTAGGTGCTGTTTTGCTTTGACCTTGCACCATAGCCCACGAGTTGTTCTACTCACCCAGATGAATGAAGACCCCATTTGGGAAGAGATCCAGTCAGAGGTTATCGATTGATGCAGCAGGTAAGGACAGTGTTGAAACCGAAGGATAGTGCAAGCCTTCAGTCGAGTGGTGTTGATCTATTGCTGATCAGCACCAGTAGTAAAGACCAATGCTAATTAGTAACATCGGTCAGGGCTGCAGAACATGTTTAAAGACTGCTGGTTGTGATCTCAATTAATTATTGTGTGTGACAAAACTTCTCTGTATTTTCTCTGTAAAATAGCTGGATTAAAAATCTAAAATCTCAATAACTGTATTTACATTTACATTGCTTTCTCAGTGCTTTATGTTTTTAGTGTTGAGAAAATGCTTTAGTTGCTTTCCTGATTGACTGCCACCATTTGTTATCTGAATTTTTTTTGTATCCTCCGCTTCTCTTCAAATAGCAATTTGACGACCAGAATTATGTTGCCCTCATTTTAGCTAGTCGCTCTTTGCAACTCTCTGCATGACTTGAGCCATAAGTCTTAGAATCATCTCTCTCTGAAACCATAGCAAAGGAAAATGTCATAATAGTTGTTTGGAAGATAGGATGCCCAAAATTGCACACCATATTCTACCCATCAACTTTTTCTCCATTGATGGAAATTTTGCATTTTTAAAACACTGATGGGTGGAGATGATATGTATATATGTGTATGTATATATTGATATATATATAGTGTGTGTATATATATATATATATATATATAAAAGATACAAAAACAGAAGTCGCTGGGAACACTCAGCAGGTCAGGCAGCATCTTATGGAGAAAAAAAAGTGAGTCAACATTTCGGATCCACGACCCTTCATCAGAACTGAGGCATGTTGGGAAGGAGAGGCTTTTAAGGACTAGCAGAGAGGGGGAGGGGGGATAGGGCAAGGAAGACAAATGAGAAAATGGGGTAGAGGACAGGGGATCATGGGTTAAAGAGGTGTTAATGATGCAAAACAAAGGGGAGATTGCAAGAAAGCAGGGGAATAGATATAAGATACCAAGGTGAAGAGTTGAACTTTTACGGTTGGTTTAAAAAGGAGGGAAGCATTACTTGGAGAAAGTAAATTTATCCAGTAAAGGGGAGTGCAAAATATTTGTGAGAACCTACTTCGCCTGACTTTCTCTGCTATTTATTTTAGCAATGACCATTAGTATAGTTCTTTGTATAGAAACTTGGGAATTCACGAGGCCGGATGAGACCATCTGAGAACTAATAAAAATTCTAGGCTACTCTTTCATAACTCCTCAGTTGAATTATATGCTGAATATATAACCAAATCCTCTTGAATTTGCTGACATCCCTGTGCCATCCATTCCACATATTTACCATTCTATGTGCAAAGTAAATAAATCTGAACTGTCCGTTCACCTTCCCTTTTCTGTGCTGGAGTCCGTGTCTCTCGGTGGTGGAATGCCGCAAGTGGGAGACAACCGTTCTTTGTTTTACTTGAAGTGAAAAGGTGTTGGTGCTGGAGACATCTGCCGCCCAGACAACTGGCCTCCTCCACTGAGCAAGATGGTATTGTAATTTGGGCTAGCTTGTTAGAAGGAGCAGACAAGACTTGAAATGAGGGAAACGTATGTATATTTTCGTATACCCATCCCTGACCAGTTTATCATTGTAAATCAAATGGCGAATTTCACAACGTTAAACTGTAACTTTCACTGGTAGACTAAACATACTCTAAAGGTGTTCAAAATGTTATTTCAGCTGCATATTTTCTGGTTGTTGGACATTTCAGATTTTATTTGTGCAGTGTTTAGATTGGAAAGTCTAGTTTTTTAAGATTTTTTAAAACATTACCACAGGAAACATCTAGGTTGAGATATTCCTCTGGTCTGTGTAACTTTTGAACTTAGTAAAGAACAGCGTGGCACAAATATTGGAGTTTTTAGACTACTGTTGATTTCCTGCTTTTCCATGCTAATGTGATGCATATTCGGACACAAAGTTTTGCGCAAGATTATAGAAGCCTTATTCAAGGTCTTTAAGCATCTACATGTTCTAAATTCTGCGGTGGTAAAGACAAGTGGACCATTCAATGTAGGTAAGTTCAGAGTTCAATGTAAGGTGGATCAGTTAGTTTTACAGAGTTCTCCTCTTTGGTTGATTCTCGAGGTTGGAATTAAATTACGTCTGCAGTCACTTCTTCAGTCACTCAGATGTTCAGCCAGAACTACTAGTGGCAATGAAAGAACAGGCTATCCTTAATTTGTAAACTGTAGAAACACCGTTAGTGATGCCTAATTTCAGGAATTGGGTACAGAGAGAAAAGTTTGTAACAATCCTTACATTTGATATAGCACCATTCATGTTGGGAGAACAACTCATTTAAGAACAACTTAAAGCACTTCATAGGAACTGTAGTGACTGGGTGCATTTTGTGGATGATCACAGCAGTCCGTCTGTCCGCCACTAATACAATAACCGATTGACGTAGAGACATGATTTATACCTAATCAGAAAGGTCTGTCATGGGCATATTTTTTAGGGGGATTTCCTATCATTGATGAACTATGACCTAAACAAGCTCACCACACATGTATGGACTCCAACCAGGGGTCCTCCCAACCAGGGGTCCTCCCACTGTGTCCTCCCAACAGGAGTCCTCCCACTGTGTCCTCCCAACAGGAGTCCTCCCACTGTGTACTCCCAACAGGAGTCCTCCCAATAGTACATTTTCTTAAGCCTAAGGGATAAAGATGCCTAAGAAGCGAAGATCAAGCCTTTCAAGGACAAATAAAAATGTCAGATGAAAGAGAGAAGGCCGATTAAATGAAACTGAAGAACAAAGAACACCATGGTAGGACTTTGACACAGAAAGGACTGCAAGAACACGGAAAAATGAGTTGCCCCCTCAAACAACAGATTGGTTGGACTTGGACAGAAAAAGGCATGCAAGAACACGGCAAAATGACATCCAGCAGCAGAGGCCACTCCATTTAGCTGCGCTCAACTATGATCCAGGCAGAGACTACAAATCAGATGGTGTCCATCATCACTGAAATGTACATTCCATATTGGATCCTTTGGTTTCAAGCGAAGCTGCAGTGGGTACAGCTAGTACATCATATAGAGGTCAGAACTGGCTGCTTGGTTAGCTTTAGAAAATTGCTTTTATCAGATGAGAGAGCTGGTTTCTGTCTGTCGTACATGAACCTATCTTAAAAGGAGCACGGACTGGAACTGAGATACACTGGCAGGTTCTGATAATGCACTTGAATGAATCGGTTAATTGAAGATTAAATTTGAACTGAATGTGATGCGAGATGGTTTAGAGCCACTTTCAGCATCACTAAATTAATATCATCTATTATACATTCATAGGACTTCCCTAAGCCACTTAATCAGGAATTCATAATTCTTTGGCATTCAGTTAGGGCTGTGAATGTTCGACATGTATGGACTGTCTGTGTTCTTGATCTGCCCATTATTTGGTTACACTGAACCAAATTTTTTTTCACACCAGGTTTGTTCAGAAACCTGTCTTTCTGATGTGAATTGATGAAGTGCCTGTGCAGACCAAAGCTCAGCCAGCAATGAAATGTATGATTCTTAACAGGGCAATTCCCTCACATGTGCATCTTCCAGGGCTGTCACACACATCTGCTTTGATGAATTGCTCTGCATCAGTACTATCAGAGGGCATGCTTACTGTGCTTTTATTGATGTGTTACCTTTTAATTTTCTTCCCCCTTTTTTTATCTGCATTTTTTTCATCTTGTTGGATCACAGATCTGTACCCAAGAGAACGGGTGGACAATGGTTCCAGGCTTCCAATAACACTGCCTTTGAGTTAGCTGATAAAGCTACACAGTGTCCTGATAAAAATCTTCTAAGTTTCTTGCTTCCCCCCCTACCTCTGCGACCTCCTAACCCCCTACATCCTGCCCTCTACCTCTGCTCAGCGGGCTCAGGCCTGCTTCACGTCCCCCGCCTCGCTCGTTCCACCATTGGAGAGTGGGCCTTCTGCTGCTCTGCCCCCACCCTCTGGAACTCCATCCCGCAGGCCCTCCGCCTCACCCCCTCCCTCGCCACCTTCAAGACCCATCCCAAGACCCTCCTCTTCGACCGTGCTTTCGATCCCCTCCTTCCCCTCGCCCTCCAACCTCCCCGTCCCCAACCCCCAGCTCGGGTCCGAAACACTGACTGTCTAAGTTGGGACAACCTCCTGACGTGAAAGGCACCTTACAAATGTAATTTTGTTGTTGTATCTTTGATGCCTTGTTTTTCTCTTTGTCACTGCTTTCTACTTAACACTTATCAATGACTGTGAGACTGATTAGGTTTTGTTGGGTTGGTACAACAGCTGGGCTTCTTTCCCTGTCTGACCTTTTCCATGACCTTCAAATCCCTTCATGCTCTTGCCACTCAGTGCCTCTGCATCGTCTGCTTTCCCGACTATTCTCTGCGGCTCATTACTAACTAGCTCTGTTCCACCATCAGTCGCCTAGGTTTCAGCTACTACACCTCCATTCTCTAGAGCTTTTTCTCCAAATTCCTTCCCCTTGTGGCTTCTCTCCCTACCTTCAAAACACTTTGAGCTTTATCTCTTTGGCTGCGTTGTTGGTCAACATCCTCCAATTTCCCTCTTTTCCTCTCTGTTTGATCACCATCATTATTGCACTTTATTCTATTAGGTGAAAATACTATATAAGGTTCAAGCAGTTGGCAATTCTAGCAACTTGCTGGTCTTTTTTAAAAAAAAGTATCTGCTGTACAGTACCCAATTTGTTCAGAAGGATGATACAATTGAAATGAATAAAGCATCCTTGATGAAAAATAGCATATGTCTGCTTATTGGATTTTATTGTGTATATGCCAAATCCTGTAGTGATATGAGGTATGTTGAACATTTACATTGAGCTCTAATCATATAATCCAGATTTGGGAACTAAGCTCATAGTAGAGTCAAGCCTCCCCATTCATAATACTGGTGTCTTAAATTTCTTAATCTGTTTCTGTATCATAAGGAATGGAATATGGTGTGTTGGTAAATTATCCATTTAAATTGCACTGCCCTTAATTCGACACTGGCAGGAAACCTAGCCAGAAGGAAGGTGATTTGATACGGAAGCTGATTCTATCAAGCTCTCACCAGCTGTCAAAAGTCAGACCGATGTTGGTTCTGCTTTGGCATCTGATAGGGTGTGTTCTGCAGTGCAGACATGGCAACGGCAATGTGTTTCAACAATGAATGTCTTCTCTTTGTAACCTACAGTGATTGATATTTTCTTTCTGTGCTAGGTCTTCCTGGTGCATCTGGTAATATGATGAAGAAGAAAGGCAGTCACAGGTACAGGCGGCGGCGCTTGCAACCAATTTATTCTCAAACATAATGAGCTGAATCGGCAGCAGTGCTGCAGTGAAGGACGAGTGTGATACTGCATGACCTTGTACAACGTGTGCAGAAATTGAGCAAGCAGACACATCCGTCAACCTGCTTAATATCCAACCACAGCATTAACTAAACAGATCAGTGTTTGTCTCATGCCCTTACCAGAATTCATCTGCCTATGTTAGCTATCGGGGCTTTATTTTGTATGCCTTGCATGCCTGATATTATTGAAAAAAACTAGGTTTGCAGGGAGTTAGAAATTGACAGTTCTACAAAACTCATTTGTCTCCATGTAATTCCGTTTTCAACTTCCCCCGAGGGAATTGAAATGAGACCAGTACATAAGCATTTCCTACCCAATTACATTTTAAATCAAAAGGAGTTCACCTACAATACAGTTCTCTGGGTTACTTATGTGATTTGATGCTAAACTAAATCATTAGTGCAGGGATTTTAAACATTCGCTATCTTTGTGCTTTTTGAGAGGACAGCGAGCTACACTGCCACCTATCATTTATATTTTGTTTTAGCTAGAATCATCAATTTGCCCTCCATGGTCTTGCTCGCCCCTACCTCTGTGACCCCCTAACCCCCTAGCATCCTGCTCGCTCCCTCCACTCAGCATGCTCCGGCCTGTTTCACATCCCCCGGCTCACATGCCCCACTTTGGTGGGCGGGTCTTCTTCCACTCTGCGCCCACCCTCTGGAATTCCATCCCGCAGTCCCTCCGGCTCGCCCCCTCCCTTGCCTCCTTCAAGACACATCTCAAAACCCTCCTCTTCAACCGTGCTTTTGATCTCCCTGCTTCCCCCCTGCCCTCCACTCTCCCTGGCCCCCAACTCGGGTCCGAAACTCTGTCTATCCAGCGCCTTGGGACGTCCTCCTGACATGAAAGACACTATGCAAATGTAATTTTATTTTTGTTGCCACTATTTGGCAAACCTCTTCTGCGATTTGAGAAGTTTGATTCCCTATTTTTCCTGCTCCCCCTCCTCTCATACTAGGTATGTTTGCATTGGTGCCAGCTGCCCTCCAGTTCCTCGCCTGAACGGCCATTCTTCATGTGTGAACCTGAGTACTGGCAGGATGTACAACCATGAAGGGAACAGCAGCTGAGCCCAATTCTGTGCTTCCTCGGACGTGCAGGCGTCATCGAATGGCAAACTAACAAAAGAAAATCAGCTATGATTTCTGCTTCTATCCTTCCCTATTCCAGCGGTGCTGTTGAAAATTGTAATCTCTCTACTACTGTCCAGCTGACTCAACACAGAATAGGTTCAAATTAGGGAATTTTCTAGTCTCTATGACTCAGTTATTCACTGGACAGTGATTTTACCAACAGGACCATCATCTGAGCCTGCTAAATACTTCGTAATTACTTAACCCCAGCATTTTGCTGCAAACCTAGTTATGTGGGAAGTCAACTTTTTCCTCAAGACCTTGTTAAACAACAACAAATTGCATTTATATAACTGACCTGCTGAGTGTTCCCAGCGACTTCTGGTTTTGTTTTGCATTCATATAGTGCTTTTTATGTTGGGAGGACTTCCCAAATCACTGGACAATGCAGGATTTTCACCCGAACTGCGGGTTAAAGGAATAAGAACATAAGAAATGCTAGACAAAAAGGCCCAAGGTCCATATAGTTTGCCTTCCACCTTCCTGGCGGTCGCAAGCACATATGTCCCAAATACCTATGTGTTATATCCCATAACGTTATTTCCTAAAAGAGAACTGTCTAATCTGTGTTTGAAAGAATCAACACTTCCTGCTTCATCTGTCTCCCTAGGGAGTCTGTTCCTCTCAATCTTCTCTTTTCCAGTGTGAACATGCCAAATTTACTTAGTCGCTCCTCATAGTCCAGTCCCTCCATTCCCTCAATCATTTTGGTTGCCCTCCTCTGTATCTTTTTGATTTTTCCAATATCCTTTTTGTACTGCAGCGACCAGAACTGTACACAGTTCTATGGCCTCACCAATGATTTATACAGCTTCTTTTATTTAATGCTTTATTTATAAAAAAAATTGCAATCCTCTCCAAATGTCTGTAATGATTTATCTACGTGCTTCCTGGACATTTCAGTGTAAGGTATAAATCAGAGCTGCTCATCAGTGTACTTTGTTTAGTGCATGTTATTTATTTACTTGGGTGATCTCATAATAGGGCTATAGATTACTTTTGCTGCAATGAGCTGTTTTGGAGCGTTTTTCATTACTCCAAATGTTCTTTTACCATTGCATTTGTGCTGCTATTGGCACAGTGGCAACCAGTTTGCCAACCAGTTTGCATTGAAATCTTGAATGCATCTGAGGTGTTATTTTGGTTTGATTGTCGTGTGTAATTTTTATAAAATGGTGTCCTTTTTTCTTTTTTTTTCCTTTTCTGTACATTAGAAAACACCGTAACAATGTGGGACCAAGCAAACCTGTGTCTCATTCACGGCGCAATATTGTGGGCTGCAGGATTGAGCATGGCTGGAAAGAGCAAAATGGAGTAACGCAATGGAAAGGCACCGTTTTGGATCAAGTTCCAGTAAATCCTGCCCTCTACCTCATCAAATATGATGGGTTTGACTGTGTATATGGGCTGGAACTTCACAAAGATGACAGAGTTTTAGGATTTCGAGTTCTTCCAGATAGAGTTGGTAAGTCATTACAATTAAGTTGCATTACGATTAAAAGACACAAATAACTAGTTTTCAGTGCACTAATGCAGTTGGATGTTTGTTATAACATGGTTCTTTTGGTCCATAAGAGCACACTGGGTTTATAATGGGTCATGTTAGTGTAGCCGCGGGTACACCCGTTTGGGTTGGCGATGACATCGCTGAGCCTTGCTGCGCAGGAAGCCGTCAAGCATCTTGCCAGCTTTTACAATGGTTACCGTCAGCGCTCTGCACATAGCGGCGCCCTGCAATGTCCCATTCTTTCAGTATAGTGCACATCCATTGTGCACCAAGTGCTATACACAGATGTACGATGATGTGTAAGTGGATCCAGATGCATTTTCTTTCTTTTTTACACTCAACAACAACAACTTTAATTAATGTAGTGCCCTTCACACAGGGTAGAGACTCAGAGTGCTTAAAGTAGTCCTGCAACTACTGATGAAATAAAATGCCACTTTTTCCCTCCCAGCCTTCTCTCGAATCAATGATGCAGATCTCGCGGAAATGATGATTGGAAAAGCAGTGGAGCACATGTTTGAAAAGGATGACGGGGCTAAGGATGAGTGGCGGGGAATGGTCCTTGCACGTGCTCCAATTATGAACACGTGGTTTTATATCACCTACGAAAAGGATCCTGTGTTGTACATGTACCAGCTTCTAGAAGACTACAGAGAAGGAGATCTACGCATTATGCCTGACTCGAGTAAGTCCTGCCGAAAAATTACAACTAGAGTATATAACTGTCAATAGTTGTTTATGAATAACTACAGCTGTGCTTATTTGGGTGTAGGTGGGTGGTGTATAAAATTAATGTTATTTTAGTGCAATACTGTAATGGTAATTGTTGTGTTTACATACTGGAACTTGGATATAATCAGGCCGCTGTACAAATTTGTGGATATAGTTTCTGATGTGCAGGAAGGGAGAAAAGTAAGAGAAACAAATTGGGAAGAAGGAAAAGAGACTCTCGCCAAGCATATATGCAATTTCTTTTTCTTTTTCATTTTTGATGTTGAGGTGCAGGGCTGGAAATGATGTCGTCAAGATTTGATCAGAAACCAGTTTTGCATTCTGGTTGAATCAATGTTGGCTCAAATTGTACCTATGAGAGAGTTTCTTGCTCTGGGCATATATTGGTGGGGTGAATGCATTTATTATGCATGGAGTCCTGTAGCATAGTAGTTAGAGCACTCGCCTCGCAAGCGAGAGACCTCGGTTCGATTTCCGGCAGGCCTTGGGCAAGTTTTCTTACTCCACATGCCTGATAATAATCCCTCAATAAATAAATAAATAAATAAATAACAATTTGCTCACTCAATCCACGACTGTTTGTGGGACAATTGGCTGCCGGATTTTGCCCACAAATATACAGTCAATTCACTTTACAGTATATTCTGTGAAGCGCTTTGAAATATCTAGATGTCTAGCGCTTTGAGACATGAAAAGCGCTATATCAAATGCAAGGATTATTATATTATATTTATTATTATTGAACCAGTTATTTGGGACTAATCTGACCTCTATTCCTAACCAAACATTCTCTTTATTTAAGCTTTTTGAGACTAGATTTCTTAAGGGGTAAGTATTGTAAAACCAGGTGATTGGTTATTGCATGTTTTTATACCTCTTGAATAAAGGGCTGAAACTCATAAGTCTAGACCTATACATACTGTTTTATGTATGGAACTAGACTTATGACAGTTTTAAAATGACAGTACTAAAACTGTCTTCTAGCATCTTAATGTTGAAACGACTCAAAACATGTCATAGTAACTATTGTCAAGTGTAGAGATTCCTTTTGTAGGAAACTATGCCAGCAAGAAACTATCCCACAGACAGCTATGTGGCGAATGACCACTAATATATTGGATTGAAAGGTAAAACACCAATACCAGTTATATTAAACTTAACATGTTGTGAGAATAAATTATTGGAGGATGTGACTTGACATATCAGCTTTAGTAGCTGTGCTCAGTCAATGGTCATTACACACATGGGTGATCTTAATTCATAGCTCATTGAGCACAGTGTTCACAAAGCATCCATGAAGCACCAGTCCTTTCAAGCACAGCTTTGTTCAGGTCTTTTCATAGTCTGCTGGCAGACCGTGCGCTGGTGAAGCTAAGGGAGCAAAGCCTTCTCACTATCTTACAACACCTTGAACCAGATGAGTTCTGAATGTATTCTCAATAAGAGTTGGATAAGCTGTTATGAAGCCTTTCAACAAAAATCTATCCTCTGGTCACTATCGGCCAAATGGCCCCTTTTGTGTGAAAATGAATGAATGGTGACCCTTTGAGACTTTTTATGTGAAATACACTATGTAAACACAAACTGTTGCTATTCTTGCCAAATTTGACTCCCTCCAATCTCTAGCAATGAATGTTTAGTGTGGAACCATTTCCACAACTTGCGCTCTTCAGAGGAATCTTGTACTAAACGACAATCTTGAACTGAACAATAATAATTCCCACAGCTCTTTCAATCCTACCCGTCTGCTCTCCATTTCATTATTTTCACTTGATCTGCACCTTTCCTTGTTTTTTGTTTCTGATGAGCTCAAGTTAATCAGCCATCCTGTCTGGCTGAACCTAGTTCCTAATATGCCTTTGCTTGTTGTTGATAATCCTTGCATTTGATATGGTGCTTTATCACGTCGTTGAGGTTAATTGCGTTAAAAGAGGTAACTTTTAGATCAAGGAAGTGTCTTTCACGTTAACTCTCTCCTAACCTTTGCAGTGCAGTTTGTAAGCACTTAGACCGCATACAACATGGCAGCGGTCAGTCTGCAGGAACATTTTGGTGTCAGCCTGGTTCAATGGTAAGCATCCTTACCTCTGAGTCAGATGGTTGTTGGCTCAAGCCCCACATCAGGCTTTGAACTTAAATATTCTAGGGTGATACTCCCAACACAGTGCTGGGGGTGATGCATTGTTATACTGCTTTTTTGGATGAGATGCCACCTGCCTGTTCAGGTGGACATTATAGAACCCATTATAGATGGTATACTATTCCAAAAGATAAGAGAATTTCTCCAGGTGTCCTGGCCAACAATCCACTGATAAAATTCACTAAATGGATGTTTTTGGAACATTGTGCGTAAATTGACTCCTGCAATTTTCAGGAGCATTGTTGGTCAGGACAAAGAAACTCCCTTCTCTTTTCAAATAGTGTCAGGTTCTTTATGTTTGTCTGAACAAATAGATGGGACATAGTATTTATAATATCTCATCCAAAGTGTATTACCTTCATCAAAGCAGCACTTCCCAATACAGCAATGGGGTATCAGTCAACAACAACATCTTGCATTCATACAGTGCTCCTCATGTAGGGTAGCGTCTAAGAGCGCTTAATATTAGCCTAACTCCCCTCCCTCCATTTCATCTGGCCCACCTGCTCCCTCCATAATCTGTAAATGTTATGTTTCTGGAAGGGAAACACAAAAATATTGCTTATGCGGCCTGCAGACTTTTTTCAAATAGGGCATCCGGCCCTCAACAGCCAAAAGATTGGACCATTCTGGCCTAGACTATGAACTTAGCCTGAAGTTAGTCTGTGCTGAGTTTGTTCCTTTCCCCTTCATTGTTATACTGGCAGAGGTCTGACATCTCCATGTAAAGGGTAGGGAAGCAAATATAGCCGAGTTTCTCAGTCAGTGACGTTGTGTAAGTCTTGTAAGTGGTATTAGCAGTAAAGTGACTTTCTACAGGTTACAGTTCATGTGCTGAGGGAGGGACAGTGACAGGAGATGGTGATTCGGACTTACAAATTTAAGTTGTTGCATTTCCATTACTTTCTCCTCGGATGGTGCTGTTGCACATCACATTGGCTCAATTTACACAAAACCATAAATTAAAAACAGATGTTGTTGGGAACACACAGCTGGTCATGCAGCATCTATGGAGAGAAGGAAATGAGTTAACGTTAAAGTCAATGACCTTTTATTAGAACTGACGAAAGATCATCGACCTGAAACTTTAACTCATTTTTGTCTCTCCATGGATGCTGCCTGACCTGCTGTATGTAACCAGTGACTTCTGTTTTTATTTCAGATTTCCAGCATCTGCAGTATTTTGCCTTTGTACAATGCCAGGTAGTGGTGAGAAATACATTTGTGCCTTCATGTGCCATACTGAACTGTTGGTCCCACGCATGCTGCTAGGTGTTAAGTAAAAGCAAAAGTAGTTCTCCCATCAGATCAGAGGGTGACTTTACTTTACTCTTCTGAACTGTGAAGAGCAGCATTGGCAGAGGCTTGTCAATGGGTCCCATCGATGGTTAATGCTTAGAGAAAGGGGGAAGATACAATCACTGCTTTAAATTGTTTGTTTCTGCTGTCACAAGCTTCATGTTGCCTTTTCCTTTCTGTCTCAGTCTGGAGTATTGAAATACAACTAATAGACCCACATTGGGCATAACAATGTGTCTCCTCACACTGAAATTGGAAAATAATGTAAAAATTCACCGTGGGATTTCAAGCCAATAACATCCAATTTACTGCTCCAGGCTCGATTTCTTTTTAATTTTAAGACTGTAATAACTTGATCCAAATCGGAGGTGTGTTAGTAGCCTCTTTATTTGTCAATCCATCCCTCAATAATCCACTACTCTATCCCACACACTTTGTCCCATTTTCAGTGCCCTTTCGTACTTCCTGCCCTTCTTCTTATTGGTCCTTTTGTTAATCAACTCTTAAAGGAGTGTCCAACAAAGACCACTGATTCTTCTGACTCAAGTTCAATATAATAATCTTTGCATTTGATGTAACACCAAATCACGACATCAAAACGTCTCAAAGTGTTTCACAGGATTTACTGTAGACTGCAGTGACTGTGTTTTGTTGGCGAACACCACAGCGAATTTGTGCACAGCAGTGACCCACAAATAGCCATGAAGTAAATGCCTATGAATGCTCCTGGTTGACCTCCCCGACCTGGTTTATCCCCACTTCACCACGTACCGGCTCCACTCAGCTGAAGCTGGCCTCCTGCTTGTCCCTTGTCCACCCCCCGCTCCACTATTGCCATCTGTGCTTTTAGCCACTACTTTGGAATTCTCTCCCTCAATCCCTCCACCTTGCCCCTTCCGTTCCCATTTTCAGATGATGCCCGAAGACCTTCCTCTTCAATCATGCCTACAGTCACCTCCCCCTGGCTCAGTGTCAGGCAACGCCACTGTTAAGTACTCCAGGATGCTACCTTGCATAAGAAGTGCTACATAAATGCAAGTGTTGTTGCTCATGCCCACAAAATATACAGTCAATTCACTTTGCAGTATATTCTGTGAAGCACTTTGAGACATTTCGCAGACTTGATATGGCACTACATCAATTGCAAGGCTTGTTATTGTCAACATATGAAAGATTTGAACACTAAGGAATACTTCAATTATGGATTTCTGATCTTATTAGCTATATAATTAAAATATATATTGCCTACAGCTATAAATAATTTTCATTATACTTAGATTCTCCTTTAACAAAAGGTTTCTGTAATGAGGAGCCCTAGTTAAGTCCTAGTTTTATTGATGCTCATTTCTGATTCTACAGACAATGAATCGCCTCCAACAGAGAGGGAGCCAGGAGAAGTAGTGGACAGCTTAGTTGGTAAACAAGTGGAATACGCCAAAGAAGACGGCTCAAAGAGGACTGGCATGGTCATCCATCAAGTAGAAGCAAAACCATCAGTGTATTTTATCAAGTTCGATGATGATTTTCACATTTATGTCTATGATTTGGTAAAAACCTCTTAGACGTGCTGTATTAACAGTAGGAAGGCCATATTGGCCAACAGATGGACTATTTCCACACATGGACCTTTACATATTAGGCTTCTGAAGCCCAATAAACTATTGTGATCTCAGTCTCTGCCATAGACACTACAACATGAGCTTGAATCAGCCAAATGGTTCTAAAAAATGTTACCATATATAATGGTTTGAATGCAAGACAATTACTTGCGGGGGAAGAGGTGGTGGGGTCAAAAAAACAGTATTTACTAATACAAGAGCAAGGTTTCCAGAATCTTATCACTCATTGGTAGCAATGATGCTTCAAGATAATAAACCTAAATTAGGATAAGGAAGTAAAGTGAGAAAACACAGCAGCTGAAAACAAGTTTTAATTGAAATTGGCGCATGCAGATTGTATATAAAGATTTTCTGGATATTAAAAAAACTGCGGAGGGAAAGGTGAGACACTATTTAATCTACAATGTGCTTTCATGTCAAGCCTTACGTTTCAACAACTGTTCTATGTTTCTTTTTGTGGAGGGTGTCACAGTCCCTACCCCAAAACTGAAAGCAAATATGTTCTTTATTTAAAACAATGCATTTTCAAATGTACTAAAATTTAATGACATTGTAGAGGATATGCAGTTGAACAAACTAACTGATCATTTTTTTGTTGTCGATGAATTTGTTTAGATTTGTTCTTAAACACACAGTCTTTTAATCTTCCGTTGAAATTCACATCTTAACGCAAGCAAATTTTAATGCCACAAGTACTCTGAGAGAAAAGGAAGTAAAAGAGGAGGAATAAATCGTGAAATTCTAGAAAATCTTGATGCTATATCATTGTAATGTGAATGGTAATGGTGCCCTGAATATTCAGGATCTTTAGGATTCTAGTATCATAACAGCCTATTCCTTGGGGATAAGTAAGTAAATTGACCCACTAAATCTTCTGCAAATTATAATTGCTGAGCTATTTCTGTTCCCCTTTTGCTGTAGATGGCTTTTGTATCATACAATTTATCCACTGTGAGTTAGTCTGAGATAAAGGGATATAGAAAATCCATTAAAATAATGTTTTGTTCAGTGAAAGGTAAACATATTCAGCTAGGTCCATGTGTTCCACCTGAACGTAATCTGCTATTTGTTTAAAAGAGAAACAACTTAATGGTATTGGGTGCTAATTTGGATGGGTAGCTAAATATTGACCAAATTAAAATTTGTTTTTATGATAAACTGTATAAAAATAGCATACAACACAGTAAGATGCCAAAAGAAAATTTGGTAACACTAAAGAAGGTTGATCATTTCATGATTCACCCTGCCCCCTAAACTCTCTGGAGGGGGAAGCGGTTTAACAGAGTCTGTTTGGCATGTCCCCACCATAGAAGGACCTGGATTAAGAACCTGGTACTGAGTAAGCCTGGTACGTGGCTTTGGACTTGGACCTTAAGAGCATCAAGATGACTGGCAAATCACGAGCTGTCCTATAAAGGTCCTTCCACCATGCTGAAAGCAGACGTACGTCAGATAGCTGATGAGGAAACTCTGAGGTTTTGGGGCAACCGCTGCTGGAAAGTGTTACCTGGAATCTGAGTCTGTGAACACACTTCGTATATCCAACACAATCCTCTCAAACTGTAGAGTATGATGCCCTGGAGAGTATCTGATCACTGCGGCTATAATTCAAACAATGGTTAAAAAAAAGGTACAAAAAATGGTATAAATGGCACTCCACTGGACTACCTAAAGGAGTAGGATGTGGGTTGTGCCTGTGATTTATTAAACATTCCTTGTACTTATGGGGAGGTGTTAGTGGAGACCAGACATTTCCTCACTGAGGAGGAAAATCAGATATCGCACAGGTCAAAGTCATTCTTTGGGGAGCAGCCTTAGTGTACTTATGCTGGGGGCCTGGGAGCACAATGGATTTGTGCCCTCACAGGTGAGCAAGGAATGCGGCTCAGAAAGATTTGACTGAAAGAGAAGCGGGAGGGGATGAATAATTGCTACCAATGTTATTTTTATTGTTAAATTCACAAAATAATTTGAGCTTCACCTTACTCTAAAACTGACCTGACCCTTGAATGGATTATGCAGCCTTATAAATTGGAAGCAATCTCTTGTGTATTTACACCAACATTTGTAATTCTACACACGTTGGTGTTCATTACTCTTCTGGTAACTTGACTTGGCCTTATTCTTTTCCTTATCTACGTGCTCCCTCTGGGCGATGTCATCCACAGACACGGGTAAACTTTGACATGTATGCAGATGACACACAAATCTATTTTGCCTCCTCCAGTAAATGCATTTGTCACCTCCACTTGGATTACTTAAACGCATTCCTCGCCGGTCTCCCCAGCTCCACTATTCAAAAGATCCAGTTCATTCAGAACTTTGCCGCCCGCATACTGACCCGGACCAAACTCCGTACCCACATCTCACCAGTTCTGGCCAGGCTCCACTGGCTCCCCATCACCAAATGGATCGACTTCAAGATCCTCATACTCATGTTCAAATCTCTTCACTCTCTGGCACCTCCCTATCTCTCCGACCTCCTCACTCCCCAATCCACCACCCGGTGCCTCCGCATGACTGGCACCAGCCTCCTGCTTGTCCCGCGTATCCTCTGCCTCACCATCGGAGGTCGCGCTTTCAGCCACTATGCCCCGAGACTCTGGAACACTCTTCCTCAATCCCTCTGTCTTGCCCGCTCCCCTTTTTCTTAAGTCCTGCCTGAAAACCTTCCTCTTCAACCATGCTTATGGCCACCTCCCTCCCTCCCCCCCACCACCCGGCTCTGAGTCAGACTCCGCCATTGTTTAGCGCTCTGAGATGTTATCCTGCGTGGAGAGCACGACATAAGTGCAAGTTGTTGCCCATTTTCCAGTATTTTACTACATTCCCTGGTGGTGGACAAAATGTAGGTCATATTATGTTTTGGAACATTTTGAGTTTGGCAGCTTGATTTATTTATGTGGTGTGTTAAGGTTGTTGTGCAGTTTATTCTGGCGAACGCATACAAGGTCTCAATGTATAATTCTTAGAGTTCCATGGCCTGCAATAATTAATCTGCTACTTGTCTTTCTTTGGTCCAGATAAGTCGTTGGGTGTTGAATATTATTAGACCATAATAAAGTGTTTTGTAGTTTCCGTTTTATAAGCATTTTATTTTGGTTCAGAATACTGTAGTTAGTGTTTGAAGCATTGTTGTAAATGTTGGCACCATTAGTGGAAAAAGCCATGGAGTAAATTGCACACAGGATAGGACTAAAACGGCAGGAGCACAGAACGACATACTTCAATTGTGAAGTGGATGAAAGTTGAAGATTTTTTTTTCTGTTTGCTTACGTTCACTTCTGCTTTGTTTCTCTCAGCCCTTTTAGGTTTTAGCAGTTTGAGAACAGATACGTGTTCCGTTTCAATCTCTGCTAAGGATGTTACAATTAGCATTGATGAACAAATGGGTTTCACAATTGATGCACACAAATAATTTTAAAATAATTTCCAGTCCTATCCATGCAAGTAACAGGATGACATAAATGTTTCATTACTTGTTAAATCTTTAAGAGCTTGCAAATGCTGTAGGATCTGCCATATCATCACAGATGTGGTGACCATTATTGTTCAAACAATCTGGAATCGTGCTTTGACATGTAATAGCTTTTCTAATGTCAAGCAGGTCCTTTGTGACCTTAAGAAGTTTTAAATGCCTTCAATGTAAGTTTCTGCATCATTGCTTTTCTTAATGATTTTTCTTCCTGCTCCCCTGCAGCTAGACAGTAATTCATGCTATACGGTTCCATGGGCACTGGCAGCCCTCTGGAACCTCAACCAAGCAACTATTTTTCATGTAAGCCAGACACCGATTACTAACAGACTATTCAATTCATCCAGATGCACACTTTCCTGTAAGGACCACTGAATAGTGGGAACTTAAGCTAATTTTTAAACTATTTTCTCCCTTCCTAGTTGGGGGAAGATTTAGGTCATTGATAGTGCCCCCCAATACCACCACTTTGGCTGAGACTCGCTAACTCTGTATGATCAGGGATCAAACATAGGAACCTTGCTTATGCTCTGTATGTCTATGTAACACACACACACAGTGCATAAATCAACTGAGCCTTTGGAGGAACCAGAAAAGTACTGTCTATTTAATTCTAGCTTGAATGTAAAAATGTTTATCTGTGATGTAAACAAAATACGCAGTCTGATACTGTCCTGAATTTTGTCCTGGTCTTGAGATCATATGCTGTCTTTCTCGCACCTCCCAATACAATATCTTGCAGTTTTACCAATCTGTGTCTTTGTTGTTTTCAATAATCAATCTTATTTTTGCTGCACGTAGTTTTGCAGATGCGTTGTCTATTTTTAGCTAACACGTTTCATTCCAGTGTAAATGGTACTGTATTTCCTTTCTTTTTTTTAATGCACTGGTCAATGGATGTTTGCAATTCCAATGTGGCTTTGATTTGTACTTCAATTCTTGTCAAACATGGCTGTGACTTTGAAATGCTAATGCAATGTTCCAACTGAAACCTTATTATACTCCTGATCTTAAACTTCAAAAGCTACCTTTTAGAAGTTACGGCACTTCCCCAGAATTTCCTTCTAGTAGATGTTTATCCATAAGGGAATATTTTCAGCTACCAGTTTACATAAACAACCCTTTAATCTTTATTTGCAGCTATATCCACAGTCATTTTGAAGGCCTTGGCATAAAATATTGACTGTTTGTATGAACCCAAATTTCATGTGAAGTTTCTTGTGTGTTTTTGTTTTGCTGAGGCTCTGAACTTGGATCATATTGTTACATCAAAGGCTGAGACACCAAGGACTCTATAAAGGAAAATAACATTAACCAGATCTACAAGTTTTATTTTTTTGCTTTTATCCATGTGCCTAGATGTGATGTGCTGGACATTAATATGAAAACCCATCACTGAACATTTCATTTCCAAGTGTATACATGTAAGAACTATCACTCCAGTATTCCAAAGAGGGCAACCAAAAGGCAGGTTAATGTATTCTGGCAAATAGTTCCTCAATACTGTATTATGCAGCACTTATTTTAAATGTGTTACACAGACACATCTGAACAAATTCAGAAATACAGTATTGGCAGGATTTCTGTAAGATTGGTCAACTCTTTGTAAACGCTTCTAAGATGAGGCCTGCATTCAGATTTAAAATCTGATCATCATTGGTAGTTGAGCCAAATTACAACTGTTGACAGTCCATTCACCCTGGAAAAATGAATTAATTGGCTAGGCAAAATAAACGGCCCTTGGTTCCAATGTCTTTCCCATCTGGATTGGGCTTTCAACTAAGTTTTAAATGACAGGTTTGGATGCAGTGCTACCATTATCTTGGTACAGTATATGTTAATTCTTTGGTCTGGGAGCCAATGTTGCTTAAAGCAAATTATCCTGGGGTGTGCAGTTGTAAATGTAAGCTTAGATATATACTAAAAATAGTAAACTTTTTAAACTTGGGATTATAAAGCTGTTGTGCGTGAGATGTGGCTCCATGGTGTGAGCTCTTAAATGCAAACCTTGTGTTATTTTGCATGATCTGAAGTTAGTCGTTTGACAACCAGCATTGCATGTAAAGCTTTAATTTAGTTTTGTACATTTGCTTATTGTATTGTCTGATAATTGTTAGCTAGGATGAAATTGCACTGGTTTAATCAGAGTGTCAACTGAAATAATTGTGGTGGCTTGTCTTAAATGGGGACCATATCAACAACAATAATAACTTGCATTTATATAGTGCCCTTCACGTGGGGTAGCGTCCGGAGTTCTACCAATTTCTTTTGGGAGGGAGGAGATAAAGGTAGGAAATAAAGAGGTAAAGGAACTTGGCAAGATATACTCTACCTGACTTGAAATACCAGTAATTTTCTTGGCTTTTTAAAGTCAGGTTGCCTTTTAGAAACACGCTTCCCCTTTCTTGGAATTATCCTGGTCATTTGAAAACTTATCACACTGTCACGGTCGGCAATGATACGGATGTTAAATTACACCCTTTAAAGTTAAGAGGCCTTTTTTGTGTACGGGGTGGAGAGACGTGGCTTGCTGAATGAGCTATTATACCTTGAGCCATTACTTGCTCTTGCAGCACGTTTTAACGATGGTTTATTTAGTAACTAGTAGCTAAGATTGCATAATAATAGTAGGACAAAATTGCTTAATTGTGTATCCTATATTTTAATCTGCCGGGTGGGGAGCAAAGCCCACTAACTCTAAAATAAAAGTTCTTAAGATTATTCTTGAATAAGGGGAAAGAATACCACTGTTAAAAATAGCTATAAAATGTATGGTCCTTCATTAGTTGCCGTATTTGTCTCTTGGTTAAAAAGAAAACAATCATTTTGACTCTGCCGTCTATGGTATTCGTCTAGTTAAAAGGTAATGTTGATGTTTGCTTCTGGAGTTAGGCAGATTTTCAAAGTTATAGTCATTGTAGATCATATTGCTGTATGCCATTAGAAATAAAAATTTCAGACCATGAAATTGTGTTTACTCTTGTATGTTTTTTAAACTGTTGTATAACTATATACAAATAAACTTATGTGCAATTTAAATGTGTGCTGGACTTTTTTAAGAACTGTTACTTTGTAGACTATTGATGCTGTGAGTGAGAATTCAATCACAAATCTTGGCAGCGACCCATTCAGTGTTTCAACCGAGTGGATGTTTCATGAGATTTGTTTTCATTTGACCCACTAGGTGGTGTGTATTCCACCTCCACCATATGGAGAAAACCTGCTTATTACAGTATTGTCATTGACATCAGATGATCCACCAAGAAACCAACGTTTTGTGGCCATATTAATTAATAGCTAGCCTGCTGTTCAAGTCTGTGCTAACTTTAAGTGGACCTGCTAGAGGATAGAAAGACAGGGAGAAAGAGAGAGAATATTATGCATATTTTGTTAGTACCTAAAATATTAATACTGTGGAATTGTGATTTTAAATAGAAACTTTCAGCACTGAAGGAGGCCATTCCACCCATTGAGTCTGCCACTGCTACCTCTAAGAGAAGTGGGGCTGAATTATGAATATAAACAAACTGAGCAAATGCACTTTGCACAATATAATACATACATGAGGGAGAAGGGAATGGAAACTTATGGGAGGATGTAGGAGGAGGGGTGGAGGGTCAGACGGAGCATAAACAGTGCCACAGACTAGTTGGGCTGAGTGAATTGTTTCTGCGCTGTAGCATTCTATGTAATAAAA